GTCCTGCTGTAGTTGTTTTCTGTCTCTACTATCTCAACTGTACGTATGAAAGTGAAGTGAAGAGTGAGACACTATGGTTTCATCTGTATCCAGTGTAAGTTTCTGGACCTTGTTGATAAAGCAAAGTCCAACTGTTTGAGGCTATATAAATGTCAGTGGATAAAGCAGCCATTTACTGTTTCATTCATTCATACATACATTTTGTACAGGCATTATTACACCTGTGCAATAACAAGTATAAACTATCTGTTGAGGTTATGAGGTGTATCACAAAATGAAGTTCTTTAATTAACTGCTGTAATTACTGTAATTACTGTGTGAAGGTTCAGTGTGACGTTTTACAACATTAATTCTGTCCATTTTTCAGATCATCTTTAAACAAGCATACAAGAAAAGTGAAGAGGCATTGTAGTATTGCTCCTGTGTTTGCACAGGGAGTAATATCATACTACATTTCATAATAGAAATAAATAAAAGATTAAAATAAAGGCCTTTTTTTATATACATATCTCATACAAAACACTGAGACTACTCAGTTATTTACACTGACAAAGAAAGGCATCAGAACAACATTTCAACAAGGTACATAAAACATCTTCTCTTCTCCAAAAAAAAAAAAAAAAAGCCAAGGTCAACGGTTTACAGAATTATTTTTGTAAAACAACTAATTGCTCCCATTGGTTTAAAACACATCTAGTGATTCACTGGCAATGTGTCCTCATCTCTAATCCACCTGCAACCCTGAAGTATACATAAAGAAAATGGATGGCTTCAAACATTGAGAAAAGTAGTTTATTTATCTTTAAATTTTCAAAACAATCCTTTAGCATCCCATGTCGGCATCGATTCAATAAGACAGTCATTTATTGGTCTTGTGTACAAATAAAAAGTGAAATGCAGGCTCTATTACATGTTCTGCATCACCTTATATTTTCAGTCTTTCATTGTTTCATGTACTCGCTAACTTTATATATTAACAACACTGGTAATGCACTCAATAGTTACAATGTTCTTGTTGCATTTTTGCAAAGGGCATCTAGTCTCCAAATATTTTTGATCACTGTGATTTCCTTGATTTAGAATTGTTAGTACATTAGTGGAACAAAATCCCGTTGATCAATGTGTGACACACAGTTTTCCATGGCAACAATAAACGACTTTTTCACTCAGCTCTAGCTAATCAAAATCAGCTCTTGACACTGCACAACAGATTAGCAAAAGAACTACCATTAAGTCAAAGAAAATAATGAGTCTCACTGCTTCCAACATTATTCAGCTCAAAAATGTTAATTTAATTTAATACTCTCTGATGGTGGGTAAATAGTCCTACATATAAATGCAAAATGTGCTGAAGACAACTGGAATGTCTTTTATTATATTTTTACAATAGGAATCAATACAGATGCTGAGTTGGGCGTTTTACGTAATACTAACACCCAGACTGATCCAGTGATTAACATTAAGTGAAGCTTGGTCTATTCCTAACTCATACTAATCTACTTTCAAAGAGGCCTTGGTGCCCATCAACTAAGACTGTTTAATAAAAATGGAGCACAAACTACTGCCACAGGGATCATTTTACTGCCTGCTCTATTTTCAACACCACATTTTTTTTCTGTCTTAAATGTGTAACATCACTGTTTTTCTTGTGAGCTGTAAGCACTGAGTTTATGCCCACAGCAGTTTGATGACTAAATCCTTCCAATGTAGGCAATAAATTGAACAATGATGAATACTCCTCCTAACATGCTGCTTATTTTATGTGGCCAGTGTAGACAAGATGCTAATTTACAAATGCATAGCATATAGCAGCGGTCCCCAACCCCCGGGCCACGGACCAGTACCGGTCCTTTAGCCGTTTGGTACCGGGCCGCGAGAGCTGAGGCTCGGGTGTGAAATGTATGGTTTTCAGGGTTTTTTATTGGTTTTTAGCGTTATTTTGTTATCGTTTTTATCGTTAACTCGGTTTTCCTGGGTCTTTTCACGTATGTTATGAATAAATCTTCTTTTTTCTGTACTGGTATTGGTTTTATTTTGTTGTATTTATCTGTGACACCTTAAAGGCCGGTCCGTGAAAATATTGTCGGGAATAAACCGCTCCATGGCGCAAAAAAGTTTGGAGACCGCTGGCATACAGTACTTGTTGAGATTACCTGAAGATAATGCTGGTGATCAAGGGATATTGCTTTACTAGGAAAGACAAACCATTGTGAAATCTTTAAATCAACTTTTTAGATTATATTTTCACGGCAAGATAACATTAAATGCTGGTCATATCTCTAATAATAAGGATTCATGTTCACAGATTCCATTTTCTACGCAAAAACTTTAAAGTTCAGTGTTGGTGACTCTCTGGTGACTCGATCTAAGAAGGGTTTTCTTTCTAATCCTTTTTTATGCTTGCACTGCGAAGAAATAGCTTGTGACATAAACACTTTCAACCGTACGTTGCTGAACCATTTAACCATACCTGCACAATGAATAATGAAGGAGAAACTGATCCTGGCTGTCAGTGGCAGCTCAGTTATTTACGATCTAACAACAAAAAAAGATAAATCTGTAACCAAGCAACATGAAGCACTTTTGAGAAGTACTCTGAAAATGAGGCCATGGGAGGCCTAATGGATACAAAACAAGGTTGCAAAACTTTGCTTTCAATGGTAACAGGCATACGGTTGCACGGGTTTCATGTTCGGGTTATTTCGTAACGTTTAAAATGGATTTTTCAGTGATGAGTGTATTTTTCATAGATTACAGGCTACAGTTTGAAGGTTAGCAGAATTAGCAACTACTTAAATCTAACAAAATATGGATACTTTGATACTATAACTAAACTTGACCTTGTTAGGGTTAGAGATGAGTGATTATTCTTTTTTGTGATTTCACAGCTTTCAAGCTTCAATCTTTGTGTTTGAAAGCCTTGAAATTGTGAGTAAATCTGAGCTTTCTAAGGGATAACTAATATAATTAGGATCTAATAGAGCAAAAGTAGTTTTTGGTTATGTTCATCAAGGTTTTTAATTTGAAGAACTGCAAACTTATATAAATTCAGGGTTTTATTGGCAAGAATAAGCTAATTACCATTAAAATGTTTAAATTATTTAGAGAAACAATTATACTGCTAACCACAAATCCTTAAGGAGACAGCCATACAAAACGGAAGTTGGGTTGTTTTTTTTACATAATGCAATATTGTAATTATTTGTGCTCACTCATGGATTTGTTTGTTTGTTCTGCATGTAATAGCACTACCCCACTAGACAAGTCTAGGTTTGGTGGTTTTCTCTGATTCTCTTCCAGAGTTTATCAAAGAATACTCTGTGTGGCTTGACCCCTGCTTTAAGCATTTTGGCCTACATTGCGCTGAACAAAGTACATCTTCTTTGTCTTCCCCTGTGAGAGTCTCTGAATCAGAACATAATGGATTCAAAAAACAAATGCTGCTAGGAGAAAAATGCTTTTGGCTATGTCTGATGCGGCTTCTTTTTACGTCATAATAATTATTTCTTAGTGTATACTTATTTTGGACATGGCTATGTGGCTATACAATGGTCCTCTTAAATTGGAATGGTATTCTTGAAGACCAGCGAGTGAAGTCAAACGGCTTAAAATTAAAGTGTGACATAGTTTTCAAATCTTCTTATCTTTACAGCAAAGACAAATTATATAGTACTGCCACACAGACGTCTACAATCAGTTGTAATTTTGTTATTCTTTTTCGTTAAACAACTCAAGCATCTGAAACTTTGGAATAGATAGTTATTACATCATTTTGATTCTTGAAAATAAAATTGCATAGGCCGACTGAATTATTAGGTAACACTGACAATCAGCATTCACCTTTATTAGGGAGAAATTTAAAAGACTTTGTCCACAATGGGAAAAAGAGCTTAATGTTGAGTGGATATTTTTTAAACATCAGGTTTACAAATCACTCTGTGTTTGTGTCTGCCATGTTGCTGTTGAGTGTTGCAACAGTAATAGCATTTTAAAGCTAGCAGCTGTGAATCTGCCCTACTGTTAGAGGCTCTGACAGGTTTAGTGGCACAACTGCATTAACCCAATGCTGAGGGAAAGAGCTGAGTCTGCCAGTCCCCAGCACCATTTTCACACACTGTTCTCACACTGGACAAAGCCTCACACTTTGATCTGTTGAGTGAGTTCTGCCAGAGAGTCTTAACTGCCTCTGACTTTCCTCCTCGGGCTCCTCTCCAGCTCAGATGTGCGCTTATGGAAAATAAAGAAGAGCTGAAAGGTTTAGGTTGAATTTGTTTTACTGTCACTGTAGGCAAATTAGTAATTCTCACTTAATGTTCATCACCATGATAACTGACATAAATTCAATTACGTTATGCCTATATTAACATATGCTATTGAAGGTGTAAAATTCATATTTTAGATAAGCTGGCTCATGATTTGCAGGAAATGGAAAGCCTTTTGATGGTGTGCTCAGTTAACAGCTTTGTGACATTAAATTACTCTTTCTACACATGTTTGTATCACGCATTGTTCCTAAAGACGAATCTAATGAGGTTCACTCCCATTTTTGCCACAGTATTTTAGATTTTTCGTTAAAAAAAAGTCTTCATAAAAAGTCAGTGGAAGCAAAGTCAAAGAGGTGTAAGCTGAAGAGGGGGAAATTTCTCTCCGTTATCATTTTTAATGGGGTATAATTTCATTATGAAACAATTTCTTTCTAAGGACACTGTAACTATAGAAATGCAATGCCAATTTGGGTTTATTGAAGGTCAGATATTTGGAGTGATTATTGCTCTGCGTCTGTGTAATTATATAGTTGAATAGCTAATTAAAATCCTTGTTAGAGGTTACGATATTCCTTTTTATTTACCTTCTCTCTGTGGACTTCTTTGGTCTTGTCAATCCTTACAGGGGTCATCTTACAGACACAGACTCACTCACACACACACACACACACACACAACACACACACACACACACACACACACCACACACACACACACACACACTGCACACACACACACGACCAGCTCACCACTGTTTGCTACCATTTCTGTTCATGTCATTCTGGTTGAATAAGAGATAGCACTGAATTACAAAAAAGACAATACTGGATGTTTGCACTCAGCCATACTGAGGTTATGGTCTGGGGAAGCTGATTAAATACCATGGGAGCTTCTTTCCAGCCAGCTTAATCAGGCATACAGTATGTGGGTGAACACTATCCCATGGTGTTCACACCCGCCTATACTAAAGAATGAAATTAGCCGCACATCCCACATCCCGAAGTCTTTTCTCTGCAGTTTCTGTGCATTTTCTTTGCCACACAAAGTAATTGCATTTGTTATCTATTATTATCTATTAGGTTGTACTTTGTGTTATTTAGAGAAGTGCAGGCACCAGACACCTAAAGCTATAAGAAGAGTCCACCAAATGAATGCGTCAATGCCTGCACCTACAGTACCTATCAGTACTGAAAATCCAATTCCCAGGTGGAACTGTGGGAAGGTAGGAGGAAATGTGTGGATCTTAAAATACATCTTTTGTTGCGTAAAAAAAAAAAAAGTACACTGAGCGAATGTGAATGGATCACTCATTGTATGTGACCTATTTGTGTTTTGTTACTTCACTTAGAGATAATTTCATGTTTCCTTGTACCTTAAAAACCTTAAAAACAGAATATATTATATATATATATAATTTGCTCTGGACTTTTTGTCCAGAGCAAATGATGCAGTTGCATACAGCACATTCCTTTTTGAATGTGCTGACTGCAGGGGTCAAATTTTGCAACTTACTCTAAACACCTCACTAGCGCTGACTTAAGACAGCTAAGATCTGATCAAACCTTTAAATGCATAGCAACAATCTATGCACACTGACAGTAGAGACACGGGTGTTAAAAACGTGCGACATAGGCGTCGCGCTGGTGATGACAATTTCACAGATGTGGCATTTTCATGAAATGATGGAACATGGGCATATACATCTGCCTGTACATGTAATCTCAAGCCTCAATAGCTGCACACAAGAAAAAAGACATTACAGGCAAAAAAAGACACAGTCTACATGCATTTATCTTACTGAGATGCACACAAGGACTTTTGCATGTTCGAAAGATGTTTCGTGCTTTTGAGTCTTACCTCATTTACTTTGCTCTATATGTTCAGATCTATTACAAAATAAAATGTCTGTAATAATACAGGTTACACTGGTGAAGATTGTCTGTAACAGGTGAAATTATGAGGTCCAAGAGTTTGCTACTGAATGTATCTGCATCTTACATAAAAAGATTAGCAGGAGTTAAATTTTGTTTAACTGACTTTATTTTATACTTGCTGCTTTATAAAGCAGTTCCATCACAATGCTTTGTGCACCCTGTGATAACTTGAATCAAAAAGGCTGAAGAGAGAAACCTTATAGACTATTGGTGTCCTTTTTGTAGCATCTCCACTCTATGTAACTATGGAGCATGTGAATTTCTCTTGAAATGATACATTTAGCCAAACAAAAAGTTAATAATTGCTTTTTAGTATTTGCACCAGCATAATTTCTCTTTCTCAGTGGTCCTTAGGACCAGTATTGAAGAGCTGCAAAGCTTAGCTTTCAGGTACTTCTTCTATTCTGAAGTGGAGCTCTTTGCTGCTGACAGTTCTTGTCCTTTTCAGCCACGAAATCAAAGTAACTCAAAAACTTCGAAAACTTCAATGATTCCCTCTGTGCCATTTCACCAGATGAGCTATGCACATGCCCGCAAACAACTGTAGTATGGAATGCTTTCCTCCAAGAAATAGATATGGAGCAAACAAACCACAAATGCTTGAGTGATTTTATTTTTTGTTTCATGTTTTGTGGCAACAGCCCGAACAGTGAGAATGTGATATCACCTTAACAGTAGCAAACTGCTTATTTTAGAAAGTAACTATATGGCTACATGCCTGGTGAAAATCAGGATTATTTAGTAAAATAAAAAAAATCTGTGGACTCTGATGATGGTTTACGATGCATTTGCCCACAGAATTCATTTTTTTCAGGATAAGATAATTAATTTTGTCATAATAACCACTTTTGAAGGTTAACCACTTCTAAAAGGCCAATTCCCCAATTATTACAAGCTTCTCCTCTGCTTTTCAGTTCCTACATTAATGAGATCACCACAGTTTTTCTGCAAAACTTAGACCTTTAACTTGCACTTACTCACATTACCACAAGAGGTTGCCTATGTAAACAGCAATAGTTTTTAATCCCCCTTAAAAACATGTGACTCCCCATGAAAAACTGAGGATTCTTTCTGTCTCAATATGAAGAGAGATATTGCTTTTAATCTTCGGTCTGTATTCTTATTGTTAAACTATATTATATGTAAAGCAGTCATGAATTTTATCACAGCTTACCTTGTATTCCTATATGAACAGCCGTGATTGACAATTCACCAGCACAACAGGTACTATACAGCAATATCAGAAAGTGATAAAATACATATGATGTATCGGATTCTTTTTTTTATGTCACAGCTGTTGTTGTGTCCTCCCCCATATACCAAAACGTATACTGTGGCGGTGTTTACCTACTTTTAACCAATCAGAACCACACCACAAATGTACTGGCACAGCAGCTCTGCATGGAGGGGGGGTTCACTAAAGATGCCACACTGTGCACGTCCATTGATGCTTTAGAAAAAGCTCGAAAGCCACAGCTGATCCTCTCTCATTTCAGTGCACTCAGCACATTGGGCCCATAATGCCTTGAGTGCTTGCCTGAGCTACATGACATCACTCAGTGTAGCTGCTCTCCAATTCTTAGTTTCTCTTCTGATATCCAGGGCAACAAGAATAGAATAACTGAAAAAGAAAAAGGGGTCTTGGCAAGGGGAGGCAAAACAAGAAAAAGCTTGCCCCGGGCATAGCACACCAGAAAGCTCTCTGTGGTACACACTAATCTGACCACCCACTAGTGGTGACCCATGTATTCCCTGCGTGAGCATCATACTCTAGCGCAAGCCCACCCCTCCATCACTGTCACATGCTGCACTAATGAGTGCCAGGAGGCATGAGGTCAATGACTAAGCTGATTTGCCTACTGATAAGTGATTGCCAGGAGGTACAGCAGTGGAGAAACTGAAAAAAAGTGTTCCTGCATTTGTAAGGATGAGTTTGACTCCCTTCTCCTAAAAACATATTGAGAAAA